TGTGTTAAGAGATGTGTGTGTTGTTATGGTGGCTTTGTGATTAAGTTACAAATTAAGGTATGGGTACATACATATATATAGGCTGTTTGGAAACTTGACAACAAAAGTGAAATGGTACGTAATAACTATAGTTGATGATCTAATCTATTGTACTTTTGCTACTTTATCTAAAGAAAGCAACAATTCTACAATGAATATTCTCAAATCTCAAAGGCTTTAATTCAATATGTTTTTTTTAAACCGAGTTTCTTGGTATGGAAGACAAATTATTCTAGATTCTATTTTCAAAGTCGATTATGTTACAGTGTGTAATAAGATTTCATCGGCGAATGTATGTCCTAGCAACTTCCACACTCACCTCAACCAACAATAGATGTTTAATTTTACTAAGCGGAGCACCATAAAATCTAAGTAATTAAAAAATATATATGTTTCTTACTGTAAATTTCAAGCATGAAATTTGTAGTTTCTTTTTCATGCTTATTTCAAATAAAAGTGAATAAAGCAGACTATAAAAAGTAGTTTAACATTCTTAAGCAAAATACAGTAGATTTTGCATTTATATGTTTTAAAAATAATATTTTTATGACATAAGTAATAATGAGAAGTGTATCTGTAGTTTTAGTGTCGGAAGGGTTGGTCAAAAGAGGCCCACGTGAGTGACAATGTCACGGTCTTCTAAGGATCTGGTCTCTCTCCGATTACGAAGTCCCTTTTCACTCATTGCTCTTTTAATTCCTCCGACACTGTCCGAGTCTATCCCCGGACGTCTTTAGTAATGAAATATGGCTACTCATTTAATTTACTGTTGTTTTATTTAGTAAATTATAAAAGTTCCAGATTTTAAGTCTATAATCTCTTTTAATGTTCGGGATCAGTCTGTTATTAGTAACGTGTTTAAATCATAATTATTCTTTTCAAGTGAAGTTGAAATAGTGATTTTGAATAATCATTTTCAAAATTATTAGACCACCACCTCATTCGATAATATTGCTATTTTTTTCATTTCTTTCAAAATTCTCCATATATTTTATATGAATGATTTAAAGT